TTTGCGAAACTCATTCTTAGCTAAATCGGAAAAGACTTGTTGTTTGATTTTTCAGTTTGTAAATAAAATGCAAAAAGAAACTATGATTAAACTTATGAATTAAAGGCATTGGGCAGCAGGGTATTTTCAGAGAATCAATGAATAACAAATAAAAGCGATAAGGAATTCAAACATAGACATCAAAGAAAGGGTGAAAGACTCTCTTAAAACACTGTATATCAACTCTCCCCGACTTAGATTCTTGCTTGCCCTCAAGCAAAACAAAAATCTAAACCAAGAGAAGAGGTTTGAAAACGCGAGAACTCACATATTCTTTTGGGATCATGCTCTTAATCAGTTGCCTGCAAACCACTATCAAAAAGTTCATATCAAACTGTACAATAATGTACTTCACCATGACATCATGAGATCCCTAAATTACAAAGAACTTCAGAATCAGATAACTTAACCTTTTAACATTCATTAGCAGTTTCGTGCACTCTCACAAAGGGGATATCGAACACGTTATGGTCTAGGTGTAAAGGCTTTCTTATGTGGCTTTTTTATGTGGTTCAAGTGTTTAAGGTTCAGCAGTAATATGAATGGATGCAAATCATTATGCAAAATCATAGTGAGACACAGACCAATTGGGAGGTACATAACTTTCTTCTAACTCGGATCACCTTAACCAAATCAAACCCCAAACAAGTCATAAGTATTATAGATGCTTTTCAAATACAACCAAAGACTTATCGACTTTTCCGATTCCATTCTTTCTCCTTTCTCTTTTTTTTTGTTTTTTTTTACGGGGGAGTGGAACCGGTTCTCGTCTCACAAACTGCATCAACAAAGCTCAATCATGATCGCTAACAGCACATGCTCATAAATATGACAATATAACCACAAGAACTCAATGTCAATCATCCCAAACAACTACAATTACAATCCTAGCTAAAGGAAAGCTATGCCGGTCTGTATACTCCGTAGTTTTTGCACATGAATGCACATGATGACAATGACACAAGAACGCATGTAGTTTGAAACATGGATAGGGCTAAAGGTGTGGTACTAGACTAAAGATGAGTCAAGCCATTCAGAGTTTACAAAGAGTCGTATATCAACGCGGATTAAACTCTGAATGTATTATCCATTACATGATTACCAACCCCCTAAGTGAGATATAACAAGTCAAGATTAAGTTCAAATAAGCAAGGTTAAGCTCAAATCATCCAAATTTCGAAGTGAGGGATTATACGAGTGATCTAGTCATGAATTTTCCTAAAGTTACAAGTTATCCTTAAACAATGCTAAATGGTCCCAAGGCAACGAAATCAAGCAAGGTGCAATTCCCTAAGAAAAGCTTATAGTTCTCATACAGCATTTTGACTCAATAAAACATACACGATTTGACTCGATAAAACAAACTGACAAACTCAAGAAAACATCAAAATGAAACATAAGAAGAGCAAATTGCATTTGTAGACTAATGACACCTCCCCCAGACTTATTTCACACCGTCCTGGTGTGAGAATAAATCCAAAAGAAGCGTCGGACTGACTCAAAGAAAAGCAAAATAAAGAAAAGAAAAATGGTATATAACAAGGAAAATAGAGAGTGTTACGCTGCTCAGTGGTGACGTGGTGGACTCTCACTAGAGCTGTGAGCCTGGCCTGGCTCCCTCCTGCTTCTGCTGAGACGGTCGTCTGCAGGGCGTGCAGCTGTACCACTCGGGCCAGTAGTATCCTGACTATGCTTGCGGCGGTTCTCCTGTCCAATGGCTAGTCCAGGTTTGGTCTGAGCTTTTGTGGCTTATTCTTCTGCGTCTGCTGAGCTTTGATCTGCTGAAGCCTCAGAACCGTCATCCTCTGAATCCTCTCCCTATGTACGTGAACCAGAAGCACAAGAACATGGTCTAATCTTCATCATCGCTCTCCACATCCGGCGCATCATAGAGTTGTTAGTCTTGTGAGACTCAACAACCTACTGCAACTGTTCAGATATATCTCTAGGTGGAGGTGTAGACTGTAGCCGGTATCGTCCAGGACTGTGAGGGAGGAGCCTGTGAGGCTGAGTAGAATAATCCTGTGAGGGGTCCTCCTCGTCGATCTCATCATCACTAGCCACTGCTGCCTGTGCAGGCTGGGAAACTCGTGTAGATCCTCTGCGTCGAGTAGGTACGAGGGCAGCTATCTAAGCAGGGTTGGGAATCAAATGTTCAGAACTAGGGAGAAACACCAAGTTCTCATGAGAGAGAAGCACAGTGATAGCTGGACTGGGGAGGTTACAGTACAATGGTAGTCCTTGAAGATCCCAAAATTTGTTAACGTATCTCTTGCCCAGAATATGACTATGCATCAAGTAATCTATGTCCACTCGCACTATGTTCTCATTCACTTCTGCGGTAGACAAATCAATACCACAATGAATGAACAAAGGGGTGAGAAAGGTACCCATGAACAGCTGCTTAGGAGGGTTGAGCTTCACTTTCACAAACATCTCGCACAGAATGGCTGCATAATTCGCTGTAAGTGTAACGGGGACGTTGTATTCTTCCAACAGATGTCTAACTCCATGAAATAGCATCCATATCTCATCATCCCGAATTGAGCCTGACTCAGCCTTGAAGAAAATGGCGTTGCTGATGATCTTGACACAAATGCAGAGAACCGGATTGCGGATGGCAGTAATCTTTGCACCCCTGGACGTGTACTGTCCCTGACCAATCAAACCCCAGAAATCACTTGAGTCTTATCGAGGAAAGCGTGTGAAACGAACATCATCCCCCCTGGGAAAGTGATAGACCTCACAAAACTCAAAGAGTGACATAGAAAAGTGCTTCTTGTTCAAGAAGAATGTGAGCGTTCCCTCACTCGCCACTGGGTCTTGAGGATCACTATAACGAAGACGACATGTGGCTAAGAACTCCTTCAGTAATTTGGGATATGTGAAGTGTTCCAGGCTCCAAGCTTTCCCAAGGCCTATGGTCTGAAACAATGTCTCTACATCTTCAAGTAGTCCAAGGGAGCTCAGAGCGTCTCGACAACCACATCTAGTGGGATGAACTTCTACTGAGCTCAGAGCGGCCAAACAGTTAGTGTCAATGGAATCAAATTTCTTCGTGATAGGCCGAGTATTCGGGTTTACACTCGTGGTACTTTGTCCTCGGCTTGATCCAGCAGTATCCCTTGTTCGCCCCATCACCTACAAAACAAGAGAGTTGGCATCATGAACCAGTTTCTAACTTGCAATCCAACAAAATTAAGCACAATTAAGCTCCAAATCCCAATTATTTCAACAATTAAGCTTAAAACTCAATTAATCAAACAATTAAACACAATTGGGAATATGATAATGCAAGAGTGAGCTAGTGTTACTTAGTTATAAGCATAGCACAAGAATCCAGCCACAAATCCATGAAAATCGAATTCCTCATCAAATTTAAAGTTCATACCCGATTTTGCACAAAAGTAAAAAAATCAAACTCTCAAATTTCCAATAATTAGCAATCAAGCACCATAAACAAGCTTCCCAACCTAGTATAGACTAGAATCCAACAGAATTTCACCATTCAACACAAAGAAGCTAGAAATTTGGAGTTTTAGAGACAAACCATGCAAAATTTGGACTGTAAATGGGGAATTTTGAACTCATACCTTTGTAGATCGACCAAAACACCCCACCAACAGAAAGAGGGCAAAAAATCGAGTGGTTTAGAGCCAAAAATCGTCCAAATCCGTTAAGTATCGAGAGAGTTATGAAGATTTCAATTTTGGGTTCAAAGTGTTCTTCAAGAGGAAGAAGAAGACCAAAATCGAATTGTAATGTGAAATAGCTCTTGAAATCTCGATTTTTAAGGGTTTTAACCGGTTTAGATTGGTTTAGTTTAAACAAAAATTTTAAACCGGTTTAGATTGATTTTTAAGGGTTTTAACCGGTCGGCTGCTGCCAGGTTTTAAAGAACCAAATGGGTCGATCGATCCATGTATGGACCGATCGATTCGACTCTACGGATCTTGAAGCGATGAATGACCGATCGATCCAAAGAAACAACCGATCGGTCGGTTGCTGCCGGGTTTTTCAGAACCGAATGGATCGATCGGTCGTTAGAGGGACCGATCGGATCTCTTTTCATGCACATAGAAAACTAAAAAGCAGCATGAAACATCATTGTTTGATCGGCCTAAACTTTTAAAATCAATCTAAACCGGTTTAAAAAAAAAATTAAACTAAACCAATCTAAACCGGTTAAAACCCTTAAAAATCGAGATTTCAAGAACTATTTCACATTACAATTCGATTTTGGTCTTCTTCTTCCTCTTGAAGAACACTTTGAAGCCAAAATTGAAAAATCTTCATAACTCTCTCGATTCTTAACGGATTTGGACGATTTTTGGCTCTAAACCACTCGACTTTTGCCCTCTTTCTTTCTGTTGGTGGTGGTGTTTTGGTCGATCTACAAATGTATGAGTTTGAAATTCCCTATTTACAGTCCGAATTTTGCATGGTTTGTCTCTAAAACTCCAAATTTTCTAGCTTCTTTGTGTTGAATGGTGAAATTCTGTTGGATTCTAGTCTATACTAGGTTGGGAAGCTTGTTTATGGTGCTTGATTGCTAATTATTGGAAATTTGAGAGTTTGATTTTTTTACTTTTGTGCAAAATCGGGTATGAACTTTAAATTTGATGAGGAATTCGATTTTCATGGATTTGTGGCTGGATTCTTGTGCTATGCTTATAACTAAGTAACACTAGCTCACTCTTGCATTATCATATTCCCAATTGTGTTTAATTGTTTGATTAGTTGAGTTTTTAAGCTTAATTGTTGAAATAATTGGGATTTTGAGCTTAATTTTATTGGATGCAAGTTGGAAACTGGTTCATGATGCCAACTCTCTTGTTTTGTAGGTGATGGGGCGAACAAGGGATACTGCTGGATCAAGCCGAGGACAAAGTCTGCTGGATCAAGCCGAGGACAAAGTACCACGAGTGTAAACCCGAATACTCGGCCTATCACGAAGAAATAGGATTCCATTGACACTAACTGTTTGGCCGCTCTGAGCTCGGTCGAAGTTCATCCCACTAGATGTGGTTGTCGAGACGCTCTGAGCTCCCTTGGACTACTTGAAGATGCAGAGACATTGTTTCAGACCATAGGCCTTGGGAAAGCTTGGAGCCTGGAACACTTCACATATCCCAAATTACTGAAGGAGTTCTTAGCCACATGTCGTCTTTGTTACAGTGATCCTCAAGACCCAGTGGCGAGAGAGGGAACGCTCACATTTTTCTTGAACAAGAAGCACTTTTCTATGTCACTCTTTGAGTTTTGTGAGGTCTATGACTTTCCCAAGGGGGATGATGTTCGTTTCACACGCTTTCCTCGACAAGACTCAAGTAATTTCTGGGGTTTGATTGGTCAGGGACAGTACACGTCCAAGGGTGCAAAGATTACTGCCATCCGCAATCCGAATCTCCGCATTTTTGTCAAGATCATCAGCAACGCCATTTTCTTCAAGGCTGAGTCAGGCTCAGTTCGGGATGATGAGATGTGGATGCTATTTCATGGACTTAGACATCTGTTGGAAGAATACAACGTCCCCGTTACGCTTACAGCGAATTATGCAGCCATTATGTGCGAGATGTTTGTGAAAGTGAAGCTCAACCCTCCTAAGCAGCTGATCATGGGTACCTTTTTCACCCCTTTATTCATTCATTGTTGTATTGATTTGTCTACCTCAGAAGTGAATGAGAACATAGTGCGAATGGACATAGATTACTTGATGCATTGTCATATTCTGGTCAAGAGATACGTTAACAAGTTTTGGGATCTTCAAGGACTACCATTGTACTGTAACCTCCACAGTCCAGCTATCATTGTGCTTCTCTCTCGGGATAACTTGGTGTTTCTCCCTAGTTCTGATTATTTGATTCCCAACCCTGCTCAGACAGCTGCTCCTGTACCTACTCGACGCAGACGATCTACACGAGTTTCCCTGCCTGCACGGGCAGCAATGGCTAGTGATGATGAGATCGACGAGGAGGACCCCTCACATGATTATTCTCCTCAGCCTCACAGGCTCCTCCCTCACAGTCCTGGACGATACCAGCTACAGCCTACACCTCCACCTGGAGATATGTCTGCACAATTGCAGTGGGTTGTTGAGTCTCAGAAGATTATATACTCTATGATGCGCCGGATGTGGAGAGCGATGATGAAGATTAGACCCTATTCTTGTGCTTCTGGTTCACGTACACAGGGAGAGGATTCAGAGGATGACGGTTTTGACAGCAGATCATAGCTCAGCAGACGTAGAAGAAGAAGCCACAGAAGCTCAGACCACACCTGGGCTAGCCATTGGACAGGAGAACTGCCGCAAGCATAGTCAGGATACTACTGGCCCGAGTGGTACAGCTGCACGTCCTACAGACGATCGTCTCAGCAGAAGCAGGAGGGAGCCAGGCCAGGCTCACAGCTCTAGTGAGAGTCCACCACGTCACCACTGAGCAGCGTAACACTCTCTATTTTCCTTGTTATATACCATTTTTCTTTTCTTTATTTTGCTTCTCTTTGAGCCAGTCCGACGCTTCTTTTGGATATATTCTCACACCGAGACAGTGTGAAATAAGTCTGGGGGAGGTGTCATTAGTCTACTGATGCAGTTTGCTCTTTTTATGTTTCATTTTGATGTTTTCTTGAGTCTGTCAGTTTGTTTTATTGAGTCAAATCGTGTCTGTTTTATTAAGTCAAAATGTTGTATGAGAACTATGAGCTTTTCTTAGGGAATTTCACCTTGCTTGATTTCGTTGCCTTTGGACCATTTAGCATTGTTTAAGGATAACTTGGAACTTTAGGAAAATTTATGACTAGATCACTCGTATAATCCCTCACTTCGAAATTTGGATTATTTGAGCTTAACCTTGCTTATTTGAACTTAATTTTAACTTGTTATATCTCACTTATGGGGTTGGTAATCATGTAATGGATAATACATTCAGAGTTTAATCCGCGTTGTTTTACCACTTTTTGTAAACTATGAATGGCTAGACTCATCTTTAGTCTAGTACCACACCTTTAACCCTATCCATGCTTTCATGTGCATTCATGTGCAAAAATTACGGAGTATACAGACCGACATAGGTTTCCTTTAATTAGGATTGTAGTTGTAGTTATTTGGGATGATTGACATTAAGCTTTTATGGTTATATTGTTGAGCTTGTGCTGAGCTTTCATGATTGAGTTTGTTGATGTAGTTTGTGAGACGAGAACTTGTTCCACTCCAAAGAAAGAGAAAAAACGGGAAAGGAGAAGTAATTGTTTTGGATTAATTTTATACTTATGATTTGCTTGGGGTTCGAATTGGTTAAGGTAATCCGATTTTGCTTGGGATTCAATAAGGTTAGGGTGATTTGAGTTGAAGGAAGTTATGTACCTCCTAATTGGTCTGTGTCTCACTGTGATTATGCATAATTATTTGCATCCATTTGTTCTTTTTGAATCTTAAACAACTGAGCCACTTGAAACGACATTTACACCTTGACCATAACGTGTTCGATATCCCCTTTGTGAGAGTGCATGCAACTGCTAATGAATCTTAAAAGGTTAAGTTATTCAGATGTTCTCTTTCATTTTATAACTTTTATTGAGTAAAAGTGTGTTATTAGAGTCTTTTAGTCTATTATAGAGTCTTAAACAGGTTTTAGGTTGTTTTGGAATAAAATGAGTCTTTTTGTGATGCAAACACATATTTGGAGATGTAGATTCATGTAGAAGTGTCAGATGTTTGGGATCAGATGGACGAATTTCCACCGTTAGATCTTTCTAATATTTTGACACAACATGGCGATAAACGTTAGCTTTCGTTTGCAAGTGATTTCAATGAAATCTAACGGTGCATTAAAGAGTTACAATCGATTTCGCGAAGACATGTCATTCTGACGAGTAGTTGAAGCAGATGCAGAATTGAAACCTGAGAGTGCCAGACCGATCGGTCCACACCCGGACAGATCGATCCCTTACCTCTGACTCGTATTTTGACTCAGATCCAACTCATCTCCTATTATTTTTATACCCTAGGCTCGACTTTTTAGCAACTATCCTTCATTTTCTCAGTTCTAAACATTGTTCTTTGCTTTCTAAACAATGTTTGGGAGAAGAATTCATCCTCTTTGACAATTTGGAGGAGATTTCTAAACCATTTCTTATTGTTTATGCAATTTCATCATGTTTTCTTCATCTATGATTTATTATATTTCATTTTCTATGTGTGAATAGTTTCTTAATTGGGTTTTAGAGTTCAAAGTAGAAGATTCAATGAATTAGTGGATTGATTGCTTTAATGGATTCTTATTCTATGGCTCTTCAATTTATATGTTTCCAATGCTATAATAGGATTGATCACCCTGTTTTAGAACTTAGGCTTTTATTTGTTTCAGAGATGTTTGATGCAATGCCTGAATGAGTATTAACTAAGTATTTTATTTCTAGCCTGCGAGAGTTGATATGTGAAACCTCGGTTGCGGAGAGGTTTAAATGAATTGATTTGACCACCTATGTCACCAAAGTGCACTTATCTTTTCGGTCAAAGGTCCTGAGAAAACTCTACAATTTAGCGTGCTTATACTGGAGTAGTCAAAGGATGGGTGACCTTTCGGGAAGTAGTTGTCGGAACTGTGAGTGAGGCCAAAACACAAAGAAATATCATGTGGTGATTTGTAGGGTCGGTAAACAATTATTTAAGTCTCCCAGACATAGCTAACCGACCATCGTATATTAATGTGCTCATGGGCCTAGTGAGAGGACGTGAGGCCCATTAAAAGAGGTGGGCCCATGGGGTGGTGGTGAACATGGGGACCACTAGAGAGGTGACGATCGGGACGTTACATGATGTTAGAATGTATCGTGAACTTAATGAAACTATTCGATAATGCGAATTTAACTAGCAAATTACAAATGAGAGTTTAGTAATTGAGTAGTTGAATTTAGTGATTAATGCCTTGAGAGAGAATTAATCTGAATTTTTGTTCATGTTTAAAAATGGTTCTTCATGTATGAATCCTTGTTGCTTTTATTCACTAGATTGTTCTTTGAAATACCCTGCTGCCCAATGTCTTTAATTTATAAGTTTAATCTCTTTTATTTGCATTTTTTATTTACAATTCTGAAAACCAAATAAATAACCTTTTCGCTTTAGCTAAAAACGAGTCTCGCAAATTTTTAAGAGTATCTTTGTTCCCTGTGATCGATCATGCTTAGACTTCCTTTCGGTTAAGTTATCGGGTTAAATACTCGAGTAATCAACTCTCTTTAGAGGGTCAGACAGGTGTATCTCTGTGATCATATGCTCATCAACGTATGTCCATCAATCGTGGGTTGCTTTACTAGCTTATCCAATTCAAAAGTCATCCCCATGTGTAGTCCATTCTTCACATCTATCAAAGCTCCAGCAGTAGCCAAGAAGGATCTCCCAAGGATAAGAGGATCCTTAGGTTCTTTACCATACTCAAGAACGACAAAATCAGCAGGAATCATGCATTCTCCAGTTCAGACAAGAGCATCTTCTAAAAGACCATCGAGAATGCGGACAGAGCGGTCAGCTAAAACAAGAGTGGTCTTGGTTGTTGTGAAATCTTTCATACCTAGGCTGAGAGTAACTGATCGGGCATCAAATTGATGTTGGAACCAAGATCACACAAAGATCTCGCGAACCTAGTATTGAAGATGGAGAAATCGAGTACGTTTAGCCTTCTCCCAAGGTTTTGGGTATACAAGGTTCTATTCTTGTATGCGTATGTTGGTCATTACCGATAGACTTCTCCCAAAAGTTCAATCCATTTCTTAGAGAACCGTAATCCGATTTGAAAACCCTTCTCTAAAACAGACCTCCATTTTCCCCAAGCCAAATGAGTTTATAATCATTGCATAATTAGATTGATGTTCTTGTTTAATGAATGTCCAAAGGAATGGTAGATCTGAATGCATGGGTAGGCTAAAAGATATAATCAATTTCATATGTGATAAGCTTGTCTAAAGTCTTTAAGTAGAGTTATGTCACCTTGCATCATAGAATTAATAACTTGTACTTTGATTTTAACTACTCTATTAAGCAAGCTTTAGGTTTTGAGACCCCACTTTTAAATTTCTCTCTTAGCTTAGAACTTGCTTGATTGCTTGAGGCCAAGCAAAGAATAAGTTTGGGGAGAGTTGATATCTCTGTATTTTAGTTGGTTTTGCATTGCATTTATCCTTTGTTTCACTTGGTTTAGTTCTTGTTTCTTATGTTTTAAAGCTTTTACACTTTGTTTTGCATCTTTATGATGATCTTACATTTGTGTTTAAGAACATGTGATCCGAAGTCCAATTGACCTAAAGAAGTGATAGAGAAGAAACTTTGGACTAAAACAAGTGAAGAAGAAGATTTGTACCATTCGACCACACCACACGATGCACCAAACGACCGAGCAAGTGATTGTTTCTCTTGGTTTAGTTCTTGTTTCTTATGTTTTAGAACTTTTACACTTTGTTTTGCATCTTTATGATGATCTTTCATCTGTGTTTAAGAACATGTGATTCGAAGTCCAGTTGAGCTAAGGAAATGATTGAGATGATTCTCTGGACTAAGCCAAGTGAGGAAAAATATTTGTACCATTCGACCACATCCACGATGCACCAAACGACCGAGCAAGTGATCGAGCAGATGGAATCAAGACAGGTGCTCGACCACACCACACGATGGACCACATGACCTGAGAATGCTTACCATCGAGCATGTGATCGAGCACTTGTAATCGAGCAGATGAAATTGTTGTATGAAGGACATATGAAAGCAACTATTACTATTTTTATTTGTTTTAAAAAAAATATTTATACACGGGTTGTATGACGAGACGGATTTGAATCATACTCAATATCAAATACACAGGTTAATATAGATTGAAATATCATTAACTTTATACTTCAAAACGAGTTACTACTTTATACATATTATTTTTAACAACGCCATTATAAAATATGTCGAATCAAACTGATTTAATTAAGTTTGATATTATGCAATCTTAATCTCTTTTTAACAAATTCATGCATACTAGAAAAATTTTAATTTAAAAATAATACATAAAAACGTTTGCCCCGCGGTACACCGTGAGATAAAATCTTGTATATAACCACCCTTGATAACTAGAAGCATTAATTGTATATAAGCACGCTCTTGGTAAATAAAAGCATTAATTGTATACGCACACTTTTCATATCAATACACATGAGAACTACAAATGAGCAATCATCTATATATTGACTTTTTCGTTCATAGTTATAAGATATTATATATCATCTTCTGATCAAGTTTCCTATGTCAAATCCAAAATCATCACATCTCATTTCTTTGCAAACAGATGGTTTATACCTTCTAAACCTCAACGAAACCACATCGTTGAAGCTCAACTTGCCCTTTACATTACCAGCCAAAACCGAACCGGTATGTATTCTTCATTGTCGTGGAATGATTTGTCTGACCCTTAAAGACAACAATGATCTAGCAATATGGAAACCAGGTTTGGAGAAATTCAAGAGAATACCAATGGTTGAACCGGGCCAAACCACAGATCTTTTGGGATTCGGTTATGACCGGGTTACTGATGATTACAAGATCGTGATGGTAAATGGTTTTAATACATATATCTATGCTTTTAAAGAAAGCTTTTGGAGAGAAAGTGTAAAAAATACTTCTCTTCATTGCAAATTCAATGACCGAACCGGTACAGTTGTAGACCATTGTATGTATTGGATAGCAGATCGGTCTCACAACAAAACCTCTCAAAGACAAAACACCATCTTGTGTTTTGATTTCTCCAAGGAAGAGTACCAAGAACTTTTATCTCCGATGTACACGGATTCGAAACTAAGTTCATGGTTAGGGGTTTCAAGAGGAGAGCTATGTGTTATCGATCATTACCCTTGTCTAGATAATGACATTTGCTTATGGCGTCTGGAAAGAAGAAACAAGAAGATAACACAATGGAACATTGATCCATGTATCAATATGAAGGAAAATGTTAAAGGATTCAAAAAGTTTGATGTTGGTTTGGCGTGCTTAGCAAGAAACAAAAACTTTGATGTTGGTTTTGCGTGTATAACAAGAAACGAGGAGCTCTTTGTAGTGGTGAAAGGTAATGGAAAAGAAGAAGACAAGGTTATGGTGTATAACGAGATCAGAATGAAGTTTATTGAAGTTCCATTTCGTAGTTCTTTGAATGGGTTTAGATGTATGACTGTCACAGATTGAATAGTATGACAAAAATTTCTAATTACATTTCAAGATTAAGGAGATTATAGATTGCTTGTAAGTAATTAATTATAATTAAATCTACGACAAATATTATCTTATGGTTATTTAATTCAATTTGAAAAGAGAAATTGTATAGTTTATGTATTTTAACAAGAACAACTATAGATTTTTAAGTACTATCTGATATTTTCTCTAAGAAGATTAACTTATAACTCCTTCAGTTCATTTACGTAATGTTTAGAGATAATGCTCACAAATTAATATATCACATAAACTTATTTTGTACTAATGATAAAAAAAAAATTAAGGATTAAAGCATAATCAGTTCTTTTGGGCATAAATTTTTTAAAACAGCACTTAATCGAAATTAGGTCCCATGATCATATATAAATCTTATGGGAAGATAGGAAAAATTGATGTTAATTTAAAAGGTTGTCCATCTATACTTTCTCATTTTTCAATTTTCTTTCTATCTTTATGAAATTTTATTTTTTTTAGAACATACATTCTAAAATGCTGTAGGATATTTATTTTATTTTTTTCAGAACATATATAGTAAACCATAACATACTTATTGTGAATTCTATAGGACATAAAGTAAATGTAGAAAATGTACTCTGAATTTCGTAGAACATACAAATTTCGTAGAAAATACAAACTTTGAAATTTGTATAACATTTATCAATTTTAAAATTCATTAAATATGTACAAACTGTAGAATATGCATAATTGGAATTTTTTAGAACATTGATAAAATGGTAGAAAGCATAATCTAAAATTTTAAGAATTTACATAAAATTAGAAAATGTATTTTAAACTGTTCAGACAAAAATCATCAATATTTTTATTAACAAAATCAAAAAGCATCTTCTTCAACTATTATTCATAATATTTTATTAACATCGTTTCTAATTTTTATATTTTTAAAGTTTTGAAAACTTGATTGATATATTAGTAAAAGTAGTTTAGTTATAACATGTCTGTTTTCTCACGTTCTCTACAAAGCCCAATTCATTTGCTTTTCAAATTTCCCATTCTCTGTGGCCGAAGACTCCACCAGAGGTGGAGACCAGATCTTATGTTTCAACTTTGCTATTATCAGCAAAGAACCATCTGTATGATATCAATTGTATCAACCAATCTCAAGAAGCACATATCCAACATCTCTAAGGCTCAATATAACTATTCTAATAAGCACTACATTTGTGATAATACCTCGGTTTTCTTGTGGTTCGAACACCAAGAAAAACTGAATATATGATAGTTAAAACACGAAACTAAAGAACCAATGTGATTTGTATACGAAAATTACCTATATATATATATATATATATATATAAGGGCATGGGCATCCCTGGAACCCGTTTTAGTCCCAAAATTTTTTTTTTCTTTTTATTTTTTCTTTTTCCAGATTTAAAAAAAAAACAAAAAAAAGTAGCCAATCGCGGGCCGCCACGTGTCAGTGGGGCCTGCGAATGGAGGAGGGACGGTCTCGTTTAAAGAAACGACCCAACATTTTTTTATTTTTTTATTTTTGTTTTGCACTTTAATTCTGGGGGACTGCCAAATGGGACTCCAATGCCCATGGTTTAAGAATGAACAACCTTTGGAGTATTAAGAAAGATAATGCTAAAAAAAATGAATAGCAAAGACATTAAACATTAAACATACTCTAAACCTAAATCGCACACATTGAACATATATGCATCTGAACATGAGAAAAAAAATCGGAAGTGTTTATAATCAAAAACCTAAGTTGAAAAAGGAAACCTAATTAAATTCGTTTGATAAACGATTTATGGCCATCGACCAACCAGGAGATGCAAAACCATGTCGTAACTAGTTCTACAATCTCATGAAAACGCCACTGTTTGAGCCATATTCAGGGGCGGACCCACAGCCAAGGTGGTGGGGGCAGCTGCCACCAGCATTAAAAAAAAAAAAAAATTATTAAAAAATTATTTAATATTATTAGAAAATAAAATCTGTCCCCACCACAAAAACTATATTTCATCATTTTTCTTGGAAAGCCCATTAATCTATGTACCAAACAAATATATATTAATATATAAATTAAAGACTTACTAATTTAGACCTAATTTTTTGTTATTTTCTTCTTCTTTAGTCATTTGGTTTCTTTGTGTGACAACAAATCAACAACTATCAATTTGTGAGTTTATTTTCCTGCATTTTTTACAATCGTTTCTATTATATAAGCATTATTTTTTAGTCAGTTAATTTTATTTAATCAGTTCAAGCTTATAACTATGTTTCCTGGAAAACATTATATTGGTTTTTATGTTATACATGACTATATTAGTTTTTGCAGTGATAATTGTTTATATGTTTATTCTATGGTTAAGCTTTTATGGAAGTTTGTTACATAATTCAAAATTTTAAAATTAATAAATTTTAAAATTTAAGTCTATAAATTCAAAATTTTCTAAATTTTTAATTAATAACATGTTTTTTTGTTTTTAATTATTTGAATCTGTCACAAATGAAAATGTGGTAAAAATGTTTCAATTGTTAAATGAGCGTCTGAGTGGTTTTGTAAGATGTTTTAAAGTTTTTACATGACAATTTTATGTCTTTTATAATTTAGTATTTGATAGTTTTTTTACTATATTTTTGCCCCCATTGAACAAATTTTCTAGATCCGCCCCTGGCCATATTTATATACAACAAAAAGATGGAGGAGAGTAGGAGACGAAGAGATTGGGTGATTAAGAAGAAAAGGGGTACAACTCACAACACAGCCTTTATTTATTTGGGTGATTAAATCAACACAAATTAGAGGTTCATAATGGAGGAAACGAAGAGATTGACTTGGGTATATGCTACTCCCTCTGTTTTATTATAAATGATGTTTTAGTATAAGTGATGTTTTCAATTTCCTATGCAAAAATTTAATGTATTTAATATTTTTGACCAATTCTATTTTCCACCATATTTTTTTATTGGTTGAATACATATTAGAAGAGTTTAAAAATGCTTGCTTTAGGAGCCTCAGTGGACTCCTTTCATTAGTAAGTAATTTTAGCAAGAGAAGTTGACAAAAATAAATTTGTGCAACTAAAACGACATAATCTTTACTTTTTCAATTTTTTTAAGCCAAAAACATAATACTCGTTTTCTAAGTAGGTTTCTTAATAAATAAAAAAGTTAATGAGCAGATAGGCTAAGCAGATATAGACTTGGTAATTACAGCACAAACTATTAATAGTCCTCCATGAACCTGCTAGTCCAGCTATCAAGAGTGCCATCAGTTTGGCATCAAGTGATAAAGGCTTCTCCATTGCAAAGAACTTTTAGAAGCCAATTATAACCGTATATATAGTTACTGTTATATGATGATTATGCTATAGTTAAAACATAGATAAATTTTTTTTTTTTACTTTTATAATAAAAGTTAAATGATGATATATTCAAATAATATTTATTTTATAATATGAAATATATTTAATTATATTGTTCAAATATTTATAATAAATTAGTTAAATAAATGAATTTTGATTAATCAAACAAAAGCTACAAATAATTAAATTATTGGTCATGAACCTACAAATAATTAAATTAAATCATCAACATGGGAGGATATTGACACTCATGTACTTCTTTTTTTGGCAAACGTTTATGCACATACAATATTACAACATGAAATAGAATGAAAAAAAAGAAGAAGAAGTTGAAACTGATACTTTTAGAAGAAATGAAAAAAGACAATCATCAAAGGAAGACATTACTAACATGAGGTCCTTAATCCATTCAAGAAACAACATTGATCAAAATAAATCATTTCATCTAATAATATTTTTAAAATAATTATTTAAAAATATGTAATAATCATTTATATGTAGATTGATTTCATTTATTAAGGATGGTATTACCTTTTCTTAATTACTTTCTATGATTATTCTGTAATTTATATCCCTTTCTTGTAAACTACATCCACATATAATTTTCTTTTCTTTTCTGTTTCTTTTGAACAAACAAAGGGGAATTGCAATGTATTACTTTACTTACTAATAAATGGGGTTATTTGAGTCTCCTAAGGCCATCCACATCAGCAAAATAGAAAACTCTTAGGAGAAGCCACCTCAGCTAATCTAGAATCTAAGTTTTTCTTAATTAATTATAAATTTTCCAAAAATAAATAAATTGAATAAGCATAAATAGACAAGTTTAAGTTTAATTCACTACAAGAAAACATGCTGATTTCCTACGAAAATTCCTACAAAAGTTTTGGAAGAAAAGATTTCTTACCGAAAAACTTCGCATTTATTACAAAACAGCAATGGGTAGGAAAGCGTGTCTTAAAGTTGAAGGAAAATTCATATAAACATTACTTTTGTAGGAAAACTGGAAGGAAACAAAGAAGAATAGTGAAGGAAAAAGATTTGTAGGTAATAGCTTAGGAAAACAGAAGGGAAAGGGAAGGAAATCATGTTGTAGGAAAGTTGAAGGATATTATTTGTAGGAAATTTATAGGAAACCTTGTTTGTAAGATTTTGGAAGGAAATTAGAAAGTTAGTTTTCGGCGCCCCATACTTGGACACCCAAGTTGATAACAAGTTGTAACAAGTGGGTAAGTGTATAATTGAGTGGGGTGGTTGGAACAGTGGTAACTTTGGTAGGAAAAGAGTAGGGAACATAAAACTTTCTCCCTATGTAAAGACTCAATCGATTCATTTGTTAATCATACTCATCTCAATATATACACATCTATCTCTCTTACACTCTCTCGTATAGACATCTATCTCTTCAAAAATAGAATTTTTTTTGAAACACTTGGGGAAAAAAATATTTTTTATTTTTTACAATTTATTGAAAAAAATTGACAGAGAAAAAAATTTGTATTTCTATGAATAATTTTTGGGCATGGTTAGACGGAGAAAGATTTTATCCCAACGGGATGCTGACGAGGGATTATGCAGCCTACTTCCAGAATTCATGCACGTCGCTATGAATCAGGAAAGCTGCTTGATAAGTGGTAT